GATTGTTATTGACTTATTTTGATTGTTATTAGCGTATCTTTAGTTTAAGCGTTACAAAAATAAAATAATGAAACTGGATAAATATTTGAATTTGTATGCGTTTCAATTTATAAGGGGCAGTGGTGGAGTGCTGAGGAACAGTGTGACTTTTGTGTTAATCACGAAGAGGTTGATGATGCCATTGAATTGGTATCGGACATGCAGCAAGAGAAAAAGACAATGTAAAGGGAGAAGGGTAAGACCCAACCTAGGGAAATTTATTTCGTGCTAGGGATGCACCGTAAACTCGGTGCATCTTCCACTCATATTATGACATTTGTTTTATTTTTGTAAATCAATAATAAATAATTTATTTTAAAATTAAAAAAAAATGATTTAATATAAAGTAAGACACGTGTCACAATATGAGTGAAAGATGTACCAAATTTTCAGTTCATCCGTATTACAAAAGATATTCTCCCAACCTAGTGGTGACCGAGCAATGTGGAAAAATTGGGGCTCGCAGCAACACGGCAATGATTTGAATGAATGGCGCACAAGAGCGCACAAGACAGCTTGACCCTTACGCAATGACCTTGACCACAACCAAATTTCATTTTGACACCTATCACTTTGTTTACCCAATGCTTGGCACCTACGCATCTTGTCCCTCATTACCCCACATTGCCCGATCCTTTATATTTTATACAAACTCAATCACACTTTTAATTTGTTAATTTTAAACTATACATTGATGGGTCTTTTATTTTATTTTATTCTTCACAACTTTTTATGTTACTAAACAATATTTGAGAATTATTTATTTTTTAAACGTTTTTAAGTTTTATACAAATAACAAAATAGATGTTTGATAATTTATTCAGATATTAATACCTATGTAAAAAAGTAAATGTTAGACCGTGAGGGAATTGAGAGGGCGGGGGGGCTGGGTTTTTCTTCTACACAGAAAGTAAAGGGAAATAAAAAAGGAAGGGAAAAGAATTTAAAGTTTTTCTTTAGACCGGGAGGCGTTTGGTAGAGAAAAAAAAAAATTTATCCAAAAATCTCAATTTTCAGAAATATAATTTTTATATCCAGTTTACGATAATATTTGAAAATTAAAAATTTAAAAAAATTTAATTTCTCAAAAATCTCGCGTACCAAACGAGATTATTGGATTGCTAGAGATGTATCTGTCCCACACTAAAGAAGACTTTGAGCAAATAAAAACCCAATCCTAGCCACTCCTTCCAGCAAAAGTTCTTATCCCAACCAACCAGCCCTTCTTTCTTCGTAAGGTTTCATTCTTTCTCTTTTCTTTTTGTTTCTTTGTTGCTTTTCACTTTTCTTTTCTTTTTGAGTTGTTTTGTCTTTATTCTATTAGGTAACGTTAAACGGAGTTAAATATTTTTTATTTTATTTTTTATCAATATGCTGATCCTGATGTATCGATTGGGCTTGGGGGTTCTAGTAATGTAGAAAATAAAATGTTAGGCTTTGGTACAAACAACTTAAAAGAAGATTTGGGCTTTGTCAAGTTTCAGGTTGGATTTGGACATTGAGTTTTAATTTTTATTTGGGCTGATACTCGCTTAAGAATTATTGGATTTGTTTAACATGTAGAAGAGAAGTCAGGGCATGTTTGGTACATAGTATAGGATAAGGCCTGATAGTATAAGACCTGATAGTATAAAGCCTGATTGTATAAGATCTGATTGAATTTTAATACTATCCAGCGTTTGACACAGTATTGTATAAAATAATATATTGTATAAGATAATATCATCTAGTATTTGGTAATGTACTGTATAATACTATATATGATAAAAATATCCTTTAATAAAGAATTTATATAATTCTTCAAAAAAATGTCATATGATATTAATTTTTATAAAAATTTATTGATCAGTGTGTCCAAAATATAAATTAATTTTATAAAAATAAAAATATTCAATATTTTAAAAATTAATATATTGAAAATTTAATTTTAATTTTAATAGATTAATATTAAAATAATATATTAATTTTTGAGAATTACATTACTCAACGATGTTAATACATTAATCTCTTATCAGGTCTTATCCCTCACTCTTCGGCCGGATTAAGTTATACATCGTTTTGATGTATTAAGGGATTATGATGTATAAGCTTAGGAAAAATATACTCTTATGTTGTAGGAGAGAATTTTTCTCTCCTACACATACATCGATTTCCGTGTTACTTTTTTTTTATTTTTTCTTTTTCTATAATGGGTGGATCTCACACATGATTATTTCTATTACATGAGATAGTTTTCTCCTATTGCATAAGATTAATAAAGCCCATAAGCTTATATTATACGATTGTCACATCAAACAACTGAAAATGTCATAACGTATAGTATAAGCTTATACTATCATGCCTTATACATCACACCAAACAGACCCTTAGTTTAGGTCTTTTTGCATTGATAACAAAAGATAAAAATGAAATTGATAGAAAAATAAACAATACATGACAAAAAAAGGAGAAAGAAGAAAATAAAAAAATCAAATAGGATCAGGATAATGATATGACTTGGGAATTTTTTTTTTAAATTTAGTTCGTTGTTAGTTTGATTAGAATAATTTTATCATGATTGTAAATGGTATTCTAAAAACTAATAATTCTTTAGTGCATAACATGCAGATTTATTTCATTATAAGCCCAGTTTTAAGAATTTTTTCTAGAACTTTAACTAGATTAATTAGTTCTCATTAGGTTGGTTGGGAATTTTTTTTAAAAGGAAATTTTAGATGGTATGTTATGTCTATTTTATTTTATTTCTTAAAAAAAATAAAAAGCTCATGGAGTTTTGGTTTAGGTCAGTAAAATTTAAGGATACCAAAAAAAATAAAATTTAACTTGTGATAATTTTACTTGGAACTTCAATTAGGTAGCATTTGCTTCGAAAATACGATTGATGAGTTTAATTATACAAGGTCTTTTAAGTTTGGTTTGCAATCAATTTGATTAGAATGTATTATTTTCAATATTTAAAAACTCGATTCGGTCATTGACTCGGTCGAGGTTAAGGGTCTCAAGTTCAACCATGAGTCACTTCATTGACCCGATTTTATATATTAAAAAAATATAAATATATATCTTATATGAAAAATTTTAAAAAGTCAAACTACCAATCATTAAAGATTCAAAATGTCCTTAACATCATAATTCAACAAATTACATTCACAAGTCAATATTACACAAGCTAATCAAAGTATTAAACTATCAAAGTATAAAACACATATTCAGATTTAAATTTGCCAACAAATTCTTATAATAATGACAACGAGGCAAGAGAATATTAGGTCATTTACGTAGCTTCTCATATCTTCTTAAGGAGATTATTTTTTGTGAACCAGGACCACCATTTTTTAGGTGGTTCCTTAATGTAAATATGAGGATAAAATTGAAAAAGAAAGAAAATAACAGAGATAAAAGAGAAGAAAAAATTAACGATGGGAGAGGAAGCACCAAAAGATTCAATAATTCTTTCCTTCTTAAGCTATGTGTATGCACATGTTACTGTAAAACTAAAGCTACAATCTAGTACAGTCTGTACTGAAGCGATGATAACGACGTGTCAATCTTTCTTTTTCTTTGTAACGTTGAATTTATCGGGGTAAAAATGAGGACGGATTAGTCACATGCCATGCCACGGAGGGATGTTTACCAAATCAAATTGAGCAGTTGTCAGCATGAGAGATGCTCCAATGAGCTGTCACATTTGAACAAATTCAGATTATGATTGCTTGTTAATTGTTAGTTTGTTTCATAACTCTTCGGGCCAGATTAAAATCATGTTGCTTTTATGAATAATTGCCATGTTTTTTAACCTCACTCTATATTAATTAATCTTGTTTTTGGGCTGTCCGTGGGCCAGTTTCTTAATTGATAACAATATCAGATGGACGGCTTTCACACCGGCAAAACCTAGTAGTTAATTAATGATAATGATACTTCAAACAACTTGTTTGGTATAGCTGTGAAATTAAGGTTTCAAACCTCATTTCCATTTGAGTGGACAGCGTCTCATTGGAGTCAACAAATCAATATATACATTTGATTTGATTGATCAATGTCTACATGCCAACTAGGATGAATATAAATTCTACAAAAGGATCAAATGCCAATAGAGGCAGCCCCAGTAGCATTCCAATCATCTCTTGTTTCTCTTGCCAAATAACTTTTTGTCACAGATTATTCAAAATGGGCTTTACTTTTTAATTTTATTTGGGATCGAACCCACTGGAAGTATTTTAGTAGCCAGAGAATTAGTCTTACACCTACACTATGGTCTTAAATTAAAGAAGGTTGAGCTCTATCCATGTTAAAGAAATATTTCAATCCAAAATCTTAAGGTGTTAAGTGATCTTTTTAATGATTTATATTATTCTCTAACACGTTTTCTTACTCAAGAGTCCTTTGGGCTTGAAACTTGAATTATTGCATAGACTTAATTTTTCCTTCACTCAAGAGTCCTTTGAGCTTGAAGCTTGAATTATTACATAAGCCTAATTTTTTGTTTACCTTATGCTTGTTTAATTTCACAAGTAGAGGGCGGTGTGGATCGAACTTGTGACCTTAATATCATGTTAAAGAACCACTTCAACCCAAAATCAATCTTAAGATGCTTAAGACTTTTTTAATAATTTATATTATTTTCTAACAATATGGTCTCATCTTATCATATATGTGAAATTGGTCCTCGTTGTAGAATTATTGAATATTGACATGCAGGACGAACAGAGTCTAAGACTATTGAATTTGCAGGTTGACTTGAGCGCAAATTAAAATCAACCATAATTTTTCATTGTATGAATTATGATTGGATAAATTTATTTAAAAAATGATCAACTTCTCAAAGGAGGGTGAGTTCAACTCCCCATAGCTATAGCTCGAAGCTGATAATAAAATGCTACAAAGAATTTGATTTATTTTGATCCTGAATAAATATATATAAAGGAGAAAATTAAAGAAAAGAAAAATACAGAGGAAGATATAAAATTAAAGAATCATAACATAATATATTTTACAAATACAAAAGACCATCCATATATCTCAGAATCAGAACCTTCAGCGCGTACACTCAGCAGGGATTCCTTGTGGGAATCGCTTAGGATCGTTGCAGTAGTTATAGATCATGAAATACTTCTGAACCCATCTAAGTCTTCTTCTGGCATAAGCATCAAGCTCGTTGCTCTGCAATGCAGCATCAGAGAACGAATTGGAAGAGATGGAGGAGAATTCAGTGGCTTTGAAATTGCGGTAGTATGCTGTAAAGGGTGCTTTGGACCAATCAGTTTTCACCAAACCACCTCTGGTCGCCCAATCATCAGCATTCCAGAGGCTAGAATAGATTCTCATTGGTTGGTTCTTTGGGAAAGGAACACCAACAGACTCAGCATTCTTGAACACCCTTATGGGGATGTTATCAACCAAGAATCTGCAGTTAAAATAAATTTGTTAATTTGCATATCAATACAATAGAAAAAAAATAGAGATAAACAAAAAAAAAATTATTATTTTTTACTAAAAAAAGTTATATTTACAAATTTTTTGTTTATAAAATCTTACAGACTACGTTAAATATGATCGATTATACGAGTATATGATCGGTCATACTTAATATAATTGGTAAAAAACGGATCGTTCCTTTTTTTTTTTTACTTACATAATGTGCTGGGGCTTCCAGATGATAGAGTAAGTGTGGAAGTTTCTGGTGGGGTCGAACCAGAGGTAGAATTGTTGTTCTCTGTTTCCTTTGCCTTGGGTAAAGACGTTTGTGTGGAGAATGTAAGGGTCACCGCTAACGTTCCCCAAGAACTCAAAATCAATCTCATCATGAGTTGGGCCTTGTGATGACAACTGCACCACATGATCATATGCGAATGGAAATAATATTGTTATTGACAGCACCACAATATTACAAGGAATGATAACCAAAAGAAAATGAAATTATGTGCATGCTTAAGCTCAAGTCATTAAAGCTTTTGGTTTTTTGATCAATTCAGAACTAAATTAAAAATACCCTTTATGGAAAAAGTAATTTTAAACCGAGATTGGGCACTGCTCCACGCAAAACAAGCCCCTTTTTTTAATTATTATATTTAGTCATTATTAAACTAATGCTACGAAAGCTCTTGATATTAAAAATATGTTTTGGACTATGCAATGTTAGCTACCCCTGTCACCAGGGCAAGTAAAATTCACAAAAAAATAAAAATAAATAAATAATTAAAAATAATGTTCACTAATTTGTCTATGCATGTTTGAAAGTACCATGGAATGAAAAATAAATAAAGTGATAGTTGTGTGGACAAAGTAAAATGCTATAGCATAACTTGTTTTGTGGGTTTGCTACAGTTGGTGTTCTCGTGAATATATTGTGGCTGTTTAAAAGGTTGATGCCTAAAGTGTAAAAATATGGCAATAATGGTTGTATTTTCAGAACGGGGAAAGCATGTTATTTCATGAAGAAGCCATATTAAAGTTGCGGGGAATGATCCGTTTATAAATATTTTTTACAAATTTTTACAAATTATATTATCTTCTCCCGAGAGAAGATAGTGTAATTAGTGTTCTCCCGAGAGAAGATAGTGTAGTTTGTAAGAGTTTATAAACAAAAAAATTTGTTAATATAACCTCCCTTAAAGTTGCATTTGAAAAAGAAACGAAGAATAGTTGTGAGAAATACAAGAAAGGAATGAAATTGGATGAGTTTAGTTATGTTATAGTAAAACGTACGTAATAAGCAGTAACAGTGCCAGCAGAGTTGCCAGCAACGAGCTTGAGCTGCATATCAATTCTTCCGAATAGGTACTCTTTCTTGGATTGGAAGCCAGAGCCAGAGACTTTGTCCAGAGAAAGAGATAGAAGCTGACCTCCATTGAATATCTTAGCACGGTTATCACCCCATGTTAGATCAAAGTCTTGGTAGAAGCTAGCAGCACAGGTAGCCACAAGGGAGCTTATGACCACCCCAACCAGCATAATAAGCACATAAAAACCATTGCCAATAGAAGCCATTGAATTGAACACAGAAATAGAGAGGAAAGTAATTGTTGTGATGTGAAGGAATGTGTAAGAAAGAGGTCTATATATATATTTGTGTGATAAAGATAAAGATACGTAGGGGTTAGGGAAGTGAGAATGGGAATATGGTATTGTGTATGGTGGGGTGGTGGGACGCGTCAAGTATCAATAACTGGGGTGGCTCTGTAGGACCCAAAAGCTGGTGCCAGCTTTGCAACTCTTGAAAGCTGGAAGCTTTTTGTTTGCACATTGGTTATTATTTATAAGAGTAAACATTCTTTTTGTTTTCTTTCAATATCTACGAAATTCTTTTTAGTCTATGGCAATAAAAAAGGACCAAATTAGTCTCTAACAATATGAAAAAAGGGCCATGTTAGTGACGGAGGAGTTGACATAAGGACTAACGTGGCTCTTTTTTCATAATTTTAGGAATCAATTTGGTCCTTTTTTGTTGCCAGGGACTAAAAAAGATTTCGTGGATATTGTCAGGGACCAAAAAAGATATTTACTCTATTTATAATTATTGTTTGGATTATGCATAGAATTTTAATCATTTTTTTAAGAGAAATATAATATAAAAATTAGAGAAAAGTAATTCTTCAGTCACCAAAGATAAAATTATCTTCAATAAGCTCAAAATATCATTTTGAATTAAAAAATTAAAAAATTATAATAATAAAAATTAATATATCTTTCTTTACAAATTTAGGATTTTAGGGAAAATAATTACTTTAGATCATTATTAACGCATCCCAAGTATGATGCATATGCGTAGGCGCCATTTTAGAATGATGTGGAACAAAAAAATTAGGTGGTGAATGCCAACTGGATATGATATGGAAAGAGGACCGAATAAGAATAAAGCTGCCAAGGTATTTTACTTGTTCATGGGTCTACCTACCAATCATTCATTATAAATCCACTAAGATGATGCCACGTGGTAGGGTTAATATTTGAGTCACTGACCATAAATTTCCATTGTCAAATAATGAATTTCAAGTTTCTGACATCAGTCACGACTCACGAGACCACCAACTGCATGGCATGGTTATCTCCTTCGGTTCCTTCGGTGATGCTGATTACTCTTTCTGCTTCCTTTGTCTCTAGTTGTTGTGTAGTTTGAGCTTTTACTTGTCTTTTGCAATGCTGACAACAACTTTAAATGTAAAATTAAAAACAAGAGAGAGACAATATTCAAACGTATATATGTCATGAGCATAGTGCATATATACTTCGAAATCATTTTCTTATGTGATATGGGATAGTTTTTTTTATGTCGTGAGACATTAAAATTTGTGTAATTCTTTTTGTTTTTTAACAAGTGGTGAGCCCCACTATTTGTTATGTCTATGGCATAAGAAATACAACTTTATGTGACATGAAAAAAGAGAAACTCTAGATATATAGGGACAGGATCCGTTTACAAATTTTTTTTGCAATTACACTAATGTAGGACCGGTCGTACACTGTGTGATTAATGTAGGACCGGTCCTACATAGTGTAGTTTGTAAACAAAAAAGTTTGTAAATATAACCTGCTCCATATATATATATATATATATATATATATATATATATATATATATATATATATATATACTTTTAAGAGAGGTTATTAATGAGAAAAATTTCTAGTGCATGTACGTGATATAGCTTCCTGCTGCACCGACTCAATAATTCAAGGTTCGGGGATAATTTTCAGATAACTGGACCAAACATTGGATAAGGAAGTTCTCCAAAAACATGGCATTGGAATGAGGACTATCCATCACCTTACAGTGTCAAAGACAGTTGTAATTATCACAAAGTACATTATTGCTTCAAGAGAAAGTATTGTTATTATTATTATTTTTTTTTTGAGTGTACTCAAGGGTATCCCCACCTCTTTTGGGGGTGAGTATTAGAGTAGCATTAATTTGTTAGGATCCTGATTGTAACTATCACGGTTTGTTACCTTGTATATTAAAATAGATTAGCTTGATTTATGCTTTCTGTTCCTTAGTTTTAGCTGATTTCCTGATGTAAATAGATTAGCTTGATTTATGCTTTCTGTTCCTTAAGTTTAGCTGATTTCCTGATGTAAATAGATTAGCTTGATTTATGCTTTCTGTTCCTTAAGTTTAGCTGATTTCCTGATGTAACCAATTGTAAATCTTGGTCTATATAATAGACCCAATTTGATATATCATCAAGCTGCGAATGACAGCAACTTCTGTTATGGTATCAGAGCATGGATGGTGCCGGAATTATCATCGGCAAAGACAACTGAGCTGACCAGGACATCAGCATCAAGATCCCTCTCAGACATTTCATTTAACAGTTGGTGAGCAGCCGTGGTTTCCCCTTGACTATGCTACAAGCTTATTACAAGAAAGACCAAGTAACATAACATCAAAATAAATCTCCTAAATGAGAAACCAAAAATCAACAATGTGCTAAAAATGGCGTCGAAATGAACATCAACATGGAAGATGCCGGAATGATCATCGGCAAAGACAATTGTGCTGGAATGACCATCAGCAACATGGACGGTGCTCCCCCTCAAGAGGAACTTCTAAACAGTGCCGGAATTATCATCGGCAAAGACAATTGTGCTGGAATGACCATCAGCAACATGGACAATGCTCACCCTTAAGAGGAACTTCTAAAGGGTGCCGGAATTATCATCGGCAAAGACAATTGTGCTGAAATGACCATCAGCAACATGGACAGTGCTCCCCCTCAAGAGGAACTTCTAAACAGTGCCGCAATTATCATCGGCAAAGGCAATTGTGCTGGAATGACCATCAGCAACATGGACAGTGCTCCCCCTCAAGAGGAACTTCTAAACAGTGCCGGAATTATCATCGGCAAAGACAATTGTGCTGGAATGACCATCAGCAACATGGACAGTGCTCCCCTCAAGAGGAACTTCTAAACTGTGCCGGAATTATCATCGGCAAAGACAATTGTGCTGGAATGACCATCAGCAACATGGACAGTGCTCCCCCTCAAGATGGATGATGAATCGTATAAATACTCCATCTTTGGAAGAAAGAAGATTAAAGAAAAACAAAGCTTCGCGGAATCGGAAAAGTCGCCGGAGACGGCGGTGGGTCGTCGGAGATGGTGGTGGATCGCCAGAAAGTCATCGGAAAAGTCGCCGGAGACGGCTGTCAACGGTGGACGACGCGGTCAACGGTGGTCGGTCAACGACAACGGTGGTCAACCCAACAACTTCCCAAGGATCATTCTTTTCTGATGTGACAGATCAGTCTAAGCTGCAGTCACAGAGCATACAAAGAAAAACTCGAAAAAGAAATAGCAACGGGAATCTCTCAAGGAGGGTGATATCTCTCTATAACCATATTGGAATTATGGAAAATAGAACTAAGTTAAACGGATTAAGATTCCTCTTGTTAGGCTCTAGATACCATGTTAAATATCATAGATACAAGAGGAAATGATAGTAATCCTTGTTGTATTAAACTACACAACATTGGTGCTATTATATAGCAAACCAATTGAAGAATACAAAGAGACACACTCAATGTGGGACTTCTACACTATTAACACTAACACTCTTAACACTCCCCCTCAAGCTTGACGATCAACAAGCCTTCATTTTTTATTTTTTTTTTCATCATGACTTCCGCACCTAAAACCTTCAAGGTTTCTGATTCTAAGTCACCCTTTTACCTGCACCCATCCGACAATCCTGGTGCTGTTCTCACCACGGTCATCCTCCGTGGACAATCCAATTATGAAAATTGGGCTGCTCATACTTCTCTGCCTTCGGTTCCTTCTGAGCCGTCATCAGCATCCATCTCCATGGCAGATTTTACACCAGAAGTTCTACAACATCTCATGTCCTTGGCTGTCTCTTCTGCCCCTCCAGTTGATAAACTTACGGGTAAAATTTTACACCCATCTTGGATCATCGACAGTGGTGCATCCCAACACATGACGGGCACACTCTCCTATCTATCCAATGTGCATTCTATTTCTCCTTGTTCTGTGGGACTGCCGAATGGAGTTCATGATATTGCTACGCAATGTGGCAGCATTAATTTGGGCTCTTCTCTTCATCTCTCCAATGTTCTTTATGTCCCTTCGTTGGCTTGTAATTTGATTTCTGTATCTCAGCTTCTGCGCCAGTCTTGCTTGGCATTGTTTGTTAATTCTGTTTGTTTGATACAGGACCTAAAGCAGAAGAGGACGATTGGAACGGGTGTTGAACGAGAAGGGGTGTATATATTGTGTGCATCATCAGCTTCTGCTCATGTTGCCAGTACGTCAGATTCTGCAGCACTATGGCATCGTCGTCTAGGACATCCATCTTCCCGTTATTTATCTTTGTTACCTTTTATTTCCAATGCAAACAATTTGGCTCCTTGTGACGTTTGTTGTAAAGCCAAACAACCACGAAGTCCTTTTCCTATTAATAATAAACGTTGTTTACATCCTTTTGATTTACTTCACTGTGATATATGGGGGCCATATCATATGGCATCTACAACTGGTGCCCGCTATTTTTTAACTGTAGTCGATGATTTTAGTAGACATGTTTGGATTTTTTTGATGCGCAATAAAACTGAAACTTCCACATGTTTACTTCGGTTTCTCCACTTGGTTCGCACCCAATATGATGCATCTGTTAAGCGAATTCAGAGTGATAATGGGACTGAATTTTTGTCATCTGTAGTCCAAGAGGCTCTCTCATCCTACGGTATTCATCATCAATTATCATGCACTTACACCCCACAGCAAAATGGACGCGTTGAACGTCGTCATCGTCACATCCTCAACGTGGCTCGTGCTTTGCGTTTTGATGGTCACTTACCTATATCTCTTTGGGGAGAATGCATCTTGACCGCTGCTCACCTCATCAACAGGACACCGACTCCACTCCTTGGTGGTCAGTGTCCCTATGAAGTTTTGCATGGCACTCCACCAAAGTATGATCACTTACGGGTCTTTGGGAGTTTATGTTACACTACTGTTTTACCCAAACCA